TTAAAGTATAATTATTCTTTTCTGTACTAACTATCTGTAGTGCTTGAAATTACAGTTACTACTTTAAAACTGATGATCTACTAGCAGGAATATTGTATAACTACGTACCATGAGGAATGATTGATTTCTAACTGAAAATGCTATTCAAATACTAATTTTCACAAATCAAAATTTTATGATTTCCAACTTTATAGCAACTCTAATGGAGAGTAAAACAAAAATATTTCATCCAATATTCAAACACCAATCTTTCATATGAAATACTTTTTAAGAATCTCGTTTGGAGATTTGCTGTTGGCCAAATTCTAAATATATTCAATTCCACAATCTTTTATTTGGCTCTTTGTTGGATTTCTTTACAACGCTCAAATAATTACTGGATTTTCCAATAATAATTTTTTTTTTGTGTGTAATATAACCATATATAAGAATCTACATACTATTGGAATGTTGCCATATTCATGTGGTGTGTTTGCAAAACTATGATATATATACATAATTAATAGGTTATTTTATACAATCAAATTGGGAATTAAAGGAATACAGCTAGGTTAATGAACTAAAAATCATTTGTTTTTTTGCAGGTTGAAAGTATTTCCTGCGGCGTGCATTTCTTTATTTATTTTCTCTTTTGTTGTTTTCTGCGGGGTTGAGCTGCATATATATCTCCATTTTAATTTCTTTCTTTTGAGTTTTGACTTTGCTTACGCTCCCTATGTGTAGGTGTAGCATATATATCATTAGTCTATATAATAAATAAAATTTATGCCTCTTAATTGTTTAATGGAATAGCTAGCAAATCCTTTAAATTGCATAAATAATTACCGCAATAATAATAATAATAATAATAATAATAATAATAATAATAATAATAATAATAATAATTTTTGAACTAACTAATTAGTTTGGATTTCTTAAAGTTGTAAAAATTACATTATTTATTATATTTTATGCTTCTTTATACTTTTTTATGGTGATTCATGTATATAATATCTGTATATACAACTTATAATGGGAGATCTGTACATGCTTCGATTACTAGTTAATTTAAGGCTTCGTTTGTTTTGAAGGTTTTGAAATCTCTTGATTTCAAAATTTTTGAAATATAATTTTTTTTTACTTGCACACTCCTTGAATGGATGTATTGAAAATATTACAAATCAATTGTCTAGCTCGCACTGATGGTGTTGACTCGCGGTGTTGATGAACCTAAATGATCGCGAACGGCGTGGTCGTCAACGGTGATAAATAGTGGATTTCAAATAACTAGGTTTGAGGAGTCATTTAAAATCCTTCAAAATATTGACTAAAAAACATCTAGCATGAATTTTAAAAAACATCTAGCATAAATTATAAATCCCTCAGTAAATCCTCCAATCCAAATTTAGCCTAAAATAATGAGAAACTTATACAGTGTTTTGTATAGGTAATTTCTATGGATATAAGTTATGTCTCATTTTATATAAATGTAAAGCTTTCTTCCGACATGTTAACTTGCGCGTCGTGTTTATAGAAGGCAAAATTTTAAACTGAGAATCGTGTTTGATTAAACAAGTTCGATGTTTTGTTGTTTTGGACTTAGATAAAATGGTTCATCACAGATGGACATAAGATCATTTTATCGGTTACTTGCGAAACAAGAATGATTAGTTCACAACCTAGATGGAAATGAACAAATCATTAGAACGGTTGTAGTGTCAACCGTACAGTTGATCTTGGCTGAGTATTGCATTAGTACATTTTATGTATTGAACAGAATCCCACAAAGGAGCAGTTCTTTATATATATACTGATCGTCGTAAACGAACTAGACCTTGGTTAATTACTGCGTTCTCTTAACCCGTAAGATATAGGTAGCTATTACTTTGATTCACCAAAAGCAAGATCCATTCTTTTGGGTTAATGGTCTTCATGTTTTGGGTAATAGTGTTGCGTGTATGATGTTCTGTTAGAATATTTATGGTTTCCATATACGTTAGTTTGATTATGTCCCCGGAGTGAGCTCATTAATGATTATAAGTTAAACTCTGCAGAAGGATTAAGTTCCGACATAATAATACAGCCGATTTGAATGGTACTTGCTTCGTTTCAAGATGTCGATTAATTCTTGATTGCCAGCAATCGAATTAATTGATAGATATTATATCTTAAACCTGATGAGATAATTCGGGTAATTATTATTGAAGTCTCGAATATAATTCAGAGATGATAAGGGAGTGCAATGATGTTTTGTTGGTGGACCGAAACATTATTTAAGTTATTGAGCAGAGTTGTCTTGGCCCACAATTAGGCTCAGTACTTAAGAAGCCCATATCATCATCTCTTTAGGCTCCCTGCTATAGCCCTATAAATACACCATTAAACTCTTGGGATTGAACACTAATAACCACACGCGTACATGCGAGTTTAGACGACCCTAGTCCCAAGCGAGCTTTATCTCTGAGACTTGTTGCTCCACCGAGACAATCAGAAAGGTGTCAGGAGCAAAAGTCCCCGAGGTACGCGAGACCTTGGAGATCATCTGCACACCACCGCATACGACCAAGCATCCCCGACGAGCCATCGCGTGTGACAAGTCCGCAACAGCGATCATCCGAGACGTAGTGCCGATGACCTCCACACACAGCCCGCACGCAGCAGCGACCCGTCCCGTCCACCTGCAACCCACAAAGTTCTCGCGAGCTCCTCCCGGTGACTGCGACCCGACATCCGCGAGACCCTCTGAAATCGCGTTATGTTTCCCGCCAACCTCGAGACGTCCGAACGAGGTGATTTCTGGCAAGTGAAAAATCAACCGATCTCCATTAACGAAAACCTACAACGTCTCAGATTCTTCGAATTTTAAGCCGTATGTATTCGACTTTAAACCTCTAGTTCCGTTGCACAAAGGTTTGTTGTTGATTATTCAACTTCGTAACTTGTACATAATAACATCTTTACCGGCCCCATCAATAAAAACATGGTTAATATTTTAATATTTTTAACTTTTTATATATCTTTTTTTGGCTAAAAAAATATTATTTTATATAAGAAATATAAAAAAAATATTTTTTATATAGTTCGGTTGGTTCAGTTATTTTTAAAAAATTAAG